ACCCCCCCTGCATCACTCAACTTTCCAAATCTCTCTCTCTCCTCTACACTTCTCTCTTCTCCAGGTGCATACACACTTATATAACCCACTTTTCACATCCAATCTTTATTTTACTACACATAATCCTTGAATTAATACATTTGTAGTCCCTCTTTTCCTGCCATAGCTTATCCTTCAACATTGTTGCTACTCCTTCTTTAGCTCTAACTCTATTTGAAACCCCTGACCTAATCCCATAATTATATACACCTAATAACTAATTTACCTGGTCATGTCATGAAAGTTTGCCCGATATGGTCTGTATATCTGTAACTTTTTATATAAGCCATAATGAAGGACAAGACTATGAGTGATAGAAAGGCGGTGTGGCTTCATAGGATGTCCAGGACCTGTTGAAAAGAAAGTAATTAAATACTCAAAGTGATTTACAGGCATATCATTCATACTTTCATACTTTTCAAAATTCTTTATCGTCTTAACCCTCGTATATTTAGGCATAAAACTAAGTTTCTACAGCTCAACCACAATATACATGTATCAGACAAAATATTCATTATACAGTACAGTATATGTAATAATAACTAAGAAAAAATATATCCTGGTTCAACACGAAACTCTTAAAAACCCTGAGGCTCATAGCAGGTAGCTGTCAAAAACCATATAAAGTTATGAAATTTACAATATTCAGTACTGAAATAAATATTTTAGTTTACTCATGATTTCACTTAGTGTACTGTATGTACTGCAGAACACCTTTTTCTTTAGGTGTAAAAAAAATTTCTGCCAACTGCTATTGCATGCCCAATTCACTAAAAAACTGCTAGTGGTTCATACGTAAACTGCTAAAGGTTCACCAGGGAATTGCTGCAGGCTCACCAGAGAACTGCTGGTTCACTAGAGAATTGCTAAGGATTCTCTAGACAACTGTAGGTTCAACAGAGAAGGGCTATTGCTAAGGATTCTCTAGACAACTGTAGGTTCAACAGAGAAGGGCTATGGATTCACCAGAACTGCTATGAATAGACCATGGAACTGTTGCTGATTTATATGGTATGAAAGAAAGTGCTATGTACCTAGTTGCACTGTTTCTGATTGAAAAAGGTTGATGTTGAAGTTCCCAGCAATTATTAAGCTATGTTTATTTAATTTAATGTTCATAATTAGCAACTTAAGATTATCACCATAGTTAGCTATAAGTTACTTTAATATTTTTATTATGCATCCCATATCCATCCTGTGGGTGGTAGTCAAAAAATTATAGAGGCACTCAATGGGTCCAGGGACTGGGCCACCAAACACACACACACACACACACACACAAAAAAAAAAAAAAAAAAAAAAATACTGACTTGACAATACTGGAGGACAGGAAGGATAGGGAGGACATGATAACAACATATAAAATACTGAGAGGAATTGACAAGGTGAATAGAAACAGGATTTTTCAGAGATGGTACACAGCAACAAGGGGTCATAATTAGAAGTTAAAACTCAGATGAATCACAGGGATGTTAGGAAGTATTTCTTCAGTCATCAAGTTGTCAGGAAATGGATTAGTCTGAAGAGTGATGTAGTGGAGGCAGGATCCAAACACAGCTTTAAGAGGTATGATAAAGCAGGGAGAGAGTGGACCTAGCAGCAATCAGTGAAGAGGCAGGGCCAGGAGCTATGACTCCACCCATGCAACCAAAATTAGTTGAGTAAAATTTGGTGAGTTCACACACACACACACACACAGAATGGTTTGCAATATCCACTGTGGATAAAATACCTTGACATTTCTTGAACATTTCTAAGTGAGTTGTCTCTGAATTCAATAATTTTATTGTATTCCACTACATAATTTATTTATTTATTTATTTATTTAATAATTTGAACATACAGAGGTACAAAAAAATACAGGTAAGAGCAGCATGCCAAAGCCACTTGTATGCACAGCATTACGGGCATGCTTAAAATTAACTTAAGATTAACTAAGCAATGATGTAATCAGTGATAAAACATTATTGTAAACAGATAACAATAAAGCACAAATGAGTATTACAAAGACAGGTCATATGGTTGCATGCATTGCTGTACATTCAGTAGAATGGAGTATTCTGTTAGGTAGTGTATTTAAAAAAATAAGAAAGTTAGATTGGGTCTTAGGTTTAACATTTATGTGATATAATTAGAAAAACATTGAAATTACAATTTATAAGGTTCGTTATTCAGTATTTTTTGGGTTTTTGGGGTGAGTAATGATCTTTGAGAGAGACTTGAATTTAAAACAGGTAGGTTTTTTTTTATTTACAGGTAATAATTTCCAATTTTAAAGGGCCTTTTATGTGCTTTTGATTTTTTGCATAGCGTGAGAGGCAAGGAACACAAAAGTGATTTTGGCTTGTGTTATGGTCATTGTTCTGTTGAGGTTGCAAGGAGATGTTTGGGGGGAGGTTAATATAATTTAAATGTTCTATGTATGAAATAGGCGCAGTAAAAGTATGGATGTTTTTGTATGGGATTAGTTTAGTGTTTGAATATTGGTGGGAGTGTGCTTCTGTAGGGAATTTTTTTAATTTTCTGCTGCAGCCTTTTTGGGAATTAGGGCTGAAGGTTAATTGTTGTTGACCCATGCACAAATTCCTAGGTAGATAAGGTAAAAAAGGTGATATGGGGCCGGGAGGGTGACTGGGGAACATAGTCCCCTATTTTTGATAGTATGCCTCGGGTTTTTTTAGAAAATTTTTTTGTTTGTGTATAAAATTTTGAGTCTTTTATCAAGGGGGATTCCTAAAAATTTTTCCCCGATTTTGTGTAGAATCCGTTTATCATTATGTTAAGAGGGACATCGTACCCTTGTTCCCAAACAATAAAAGTGGTTTTGTCATTTTTTTGTGTAAGTTTGTTAGTCCTCACCGGGTAGATTTTTTCGGGAAAATTCGGTTTTTTACGTATTGGCTACATGAGGACTCGGGTGAGAGAAGACGTATGTATGTCATCTGCAAATTGGGTTTTTGGTAATTGGAACATTTGGTAGGTCATTTATGAAAGGGAAAAAGAGAAGGGGCCAAGGCCCCCCTGTGGGAAAACCAACTGTAATTGGTTGTGGGGGAAGATTTGCCCCTTTGTGTACCTACGGCTTTTGTTGCTGGGGTGACTTGGGGTATTGAGGGAGTGCCCTTTTATACCATTGTGAAAATTTTTTAGTGGAGAAAAGTCGGTCAACTGTATAAAAAGCTTACATAAGTCAATGAAAACCCAGGGGACTTCTTTTTTCTTTTTTACGGTATATATGTTCTAGAAAGTGTATAAAAACATCATTAGTATTTTTATTGGGCCCGAACCCAAAATTTGGCGGGGGTTTTAAGTATGTTTTTGGGAGATAGGTGGAGTAGATTCTTTATGAACTAAATTTTTCAAAAGATTTTTGAAGAGGGTTTAATTTGGATATTCCCTATTTTTATTAACTCGGGTCTCCCCTTATTGCAAGGATGATTTTTTGTCCACGGCAAAGTTTACATTTCATTGGGTCTAATTTAGTGGTGGTGTTTTAAACCTGCCAAAGTATAAACCCCGCAGGACCCAGGGGGTAGTGCACCCAAAGACTGCTTTTTTTGCGGATGCCCCATAAACATGTGGTCCTCCTGCATGACAAAAAGAAAATTTAATGGGCTGACTGTTTTCACTCCCCCATCTTAAGTCAGAAAAATTCAGCTGAAGTTTTTTTTTTGTATTTTTGTTCTCAAACTGATAAGTAACACCCCAAAGATTATTTTTACTCCCTCTTTGGGAAATAAAAACTTACAATTCCCCAGTTCTATCATGCACTGAAGACCAATGTGAAATGGAACTACAAAAGGTGCACACCAATCCAATGTTTAAAATCCTCCCCTACCTGTGTCTGGCTTCCCCCCAACTGATATTTAAATTTAAAGGATTTAAAGTATTTATGGATTTTAAAAAAAATCATTTACAATAAAGTGCAATTTTAGATACGATCTATGATTGCAAGGAGTTATGGCAAACAGTTCATTTTTGAAGGGTAGAGGCTCACTATTGAATGTGCTCCAGTTTCTTCATGAAACCCACCATATATGTGAGACCTGCAGATAGCCCCTACTGTGATTGGGGCCCATTTTTTTTTATGCAATTGTGAAAATATACTTTCCCCCTAATTTATTTCGGGTACATGCTGATTAATTTATTTCATCTCAGTGTGTAGATCACAGTTCCCCACACTTTTCATCAGCTACAGTTGTAGGGTTTGTAAACCCCGATAAGTTATAAAACCAATTAATCATGTTTTAGCCGGTTTTTCTGTAGGAATAATGAAAGTTTGGATTGCAGTACATGGCCCCCGCAAAGTTACCTCCAAATGCGACCAAATGTAAGTGTATTTATTAAGTGCTTTTTGTTCTTATTTTTGGGGGGTCTGAAATGGACAAAACTACTTCACAATTTCCTTAGGGGAAAAAATTGTCAGTATGGCACCTAAATATTCTGGAGTGAAAAAAATCTTTAAACCCGGGGGGTCCACTGTTTTTAGTAACTAACAGGATATGGCATTGTAGTTAAAATACAAGATTTTTGGAATTTTTGAAAAGATTCTTGGCTAGCTCCCTAAATATGCAGTCTTTTTCTGAAAAAAATGATTATTAAAGAAATCAGACAATTTCGGGAAAAGGTTTTCCTGTTTTTTCTACAGCAAAATTTTCCCTAATGTGAAATATAGTGAAACTATCAGAAAGCACTCACCTAACCAAACCAAAACCTACACTTGTCGGAAATCCATGGCATTTTTTTTTGGTATACAAATTTAAAAGTCACGAACCTCCAGTTGGATAACTTACTAGCATTAGTGATTTGAAAAGTCAATAAGTTCCTGACAAAATTGATATCTAGGAGCAAATTGTATTGGGTCACACCCTAACGGGAAAAAAATAAGACAGAATGCTGGTTTTCTTGGTTTATCCGGTTCCCGCTCTTCTGGAGTTCTTTTCAAAATAAACCCTTCTTTTTCTGTGATCGCTGAATTTTGGGCAGTGTGGGTATACAAAGGGGGGGCCAAAGCCCCAAAAGGAGTCCATTGCTTGGTTATCTTGGATTAACCACTTACAAACCCCCATGATTAAGAATTTCATTATTTTTATTATAACAAACTAAAAAATTAAACCCACCGGGTCATAGAGGCTGCAGGTAGGGTTGTGAACAGTATTATGCTTGTTGAAACTAGGAAAGGGGGTGAAAAGTATAATGGGGAGAATTTGTAGGGGCATAAGGAGTGATAAAGGGAAGAATAAAACCCAAAAGTACTGGCCCCCCGCATAGCAAACGCCTTGCATGCGAACAATCCGCATAGCGAACGCTTTGTTGCTAAAATTTTGCCCCGCAAGTGGACAAAAACCCGCTCAGGCCCTTTCGCCCGAGACCGTCCAATTTGGGGCCCTCAGCCAGCCTCACGGGGCCCCTCCCATTTTTTACCAGCCAGCCTCCGGGTAACATTAAGCATACCCCGGGAATATTTCGTATTATTACAGTGTTTTGGGTGCTTTTTTCTGGAAAATAAGGACCGGGGCCCCAAAGAAAGTTTCTGTCCCAACCCTTGGTAAAAAAGGGTGGAATTGTATGGAAATTAAGAAATTTTTTGGGGGTTTGGGGGGCAAACCCCAAAAGCTATGCCAGTTGTGGAACCCATTGTGCCTACTTAAAAAATTAGGAAAATGGGCAAGGGGGTTGAACTGAAAACCTTTTATGGATGAAAATACCCTGACCAGCTGTTCAAACCCGGCGGGACTATTCAAGAAAATGTTAGGGCCCTTTTAGACAATCGTAAAGAAACGGAGGGTACAGGCTCTATGGCCAGTTTTTTGTGCGACAAGGCCCATGACTCGAAGCGGGTCCAGGGGCAAAAAAAGAAAAGGGAAAAACCCCAAAAAGGGACTTGCTACCTTCAAGCCCCTAATGGAAGGGATTCCCCTTCTAAACACTAACCCTCTCTCCCCCCCTCCCTTCCCCATCAATCATCACCAGTCTTCAAAAAGTAAGTTCATGTAATTGTGCATGCCTTTTTCATTTGGTTTACTAAAATTAACATTTTTTTGTGGAAAAAAAAATTTTTTTTTCATACTTTTGGGTTCTTGCACGGATTAATTTATTTCCTTTATTTCTTATGGGAAAATTAATTCCATAGCAACATTTCCATAAACCCCCTTTGCACGATTAAGTTCGCTATGGGGGGGGGTCCACTGTATGGTTAAAAAATTTGTTAGTAAAAAAGTCAAAAAGGGAGTCGGGGAAAAAGGTAGAACCATCAGCTAGGAGGGAATAAAGTAGGGGTATTAGATTAAAAATTCAAGAAAGTCAAAATTTCTTTTTTCACTTTTAAGCTAAATAAGTAGATCTTGTCACAGAAAATGAAAAAAAGACTAGGATTCTGAAGCAGAATTTACAGCCAAGACAATAGTTGTAAGTGTTCAAAATAAAGCTAATAGAATTTTTTGGTTCATATCAGTAAGTAAAATAACAAAGTCCTAAGGATTTTCAATTTTTTTAAAAAACCGGGTTTTTGACCCATTTAGATTATGCTGCACATTCTGGTCCCAGGATAGGCAAAATGCACTTGAAAATAACAGAGAAGGATGATTTATTTGTTTCTGTTATTAGAAATCCTTCCTAAAAAAATGGGATAAAAAGCATTGAAATTGTCTCTAGGGAAAAGGTATAGAATTTGGGGATAATGAGTGAAGTGTAAAAATAAAAAAAAATAATAAAAAAGGGGTATACAAAGCATATTGAAAATATCTCACAAGACGGGACAGTATAT